CTGTCATAATTAATAAACATTAATCCAATTCTGACAGCTATAACAAAAATAAATAAAGAAAATCTTAAAGAATGGTATCGTAAATAATTAATTACCCAAAGGTGAGACTATAATACATAATATGTATAAATTTACAACGAAACTTGGTCTATTTTTAGGAGAACTACTATCCTTTTACTTAGTGATGAGATGAACTAAATTGTAATAATGATGTCCGAAAGTTAGAATACAGGTGAAATTAGTTAATGACACAAATTATAGTGATATCATCAATACGATTTTACCCTTTTTTTTCGTATGATTAACCAGGTAAGCCAAAACAATTTTATTAATTCGTGGGGCCAAAAATGAACGTTACAAATAGTTCCCATATTTTGTAAACATTCATTGACACTTGGCACCAAATCGTTAAAAGCCTGGAAGTTTTCTAACACAATATCTTTACATGCAAAGAAAGTTGAAGGTATACTTAAATTTTTATTGGAGAAAGTAGGTTTTTTAATAATTTAGCAATTCTCTTCTTGTCAGCTACGGATTCCTCAACATACCCTTTAGCCACTCTAGCCGACTTCCACCCACCGTGCTTTGTTAGGTTAATACGTTTCCTCCATTTTCTAACAAAAGCATTGCCGAGCTGCGTCTTAGAAAATGACCAGGATAACACTCAAGATTTTGTAATTTCAGATATTAAGCCATGACATAAGGTACTATACTAATAGTATCATGCCCAGTACTTCATGTTCATAAATAACAAACATGTTTTACCAAGATACATCAGTTACTCTTATAACCCACCCTGTATAAATATTGAAAAGAATGGTAACATAAAAATAATATCATAGTACATCATTTAATCCATAAATTAAATTAAATTAAAATAATGTTTCAATTGTATAAAAAACAATATAGAACCACCCTGTACAAACAATATTAAACTTATTTTTTTAATCGACTTATCCTCACTAGCAACCAGAGCTTGCCAAGGGCAAAAGGTTGATCGGCGCTGTTTTCAAAATTCAAAAAAATCAGATTAATTCTCACACTTGATCAGTAAGGTTCATTTTATTTAAAATAATATAAAAATAAAAGCCAATATTACATAAATTACGAGCGACCATTTCCTTTCAAAAAACAACTACTCCTTTGGCTAATACCGCAACATGTATTAAATTATATCCAAAGAAAAGATGAGAGAGATAGAAAATTAAATTTTAACCTTTGATTTTGCTCACTACGGATAACGTCATTCTTTGGCTGGTTTCTTCCTTATTATGACTTTTCAGCAAGAAATAGATAGGTTCTGAATTCCAGTCTCTAATGGAATTAACAAATGCTACACATTTCACCATAGCGTCATTTAATTTTGCTTACTAGGAACAGATGGCGACACCATTTCACTACTTGAATTCTTACTCTCTTCGTTACTAACTTTATTGCATACTGGTGAAATGTAGAATTATTTTTGAGGTGGTTTTGATATTTGTTATTTCTTGGGCCTGTACAATGAGTTAGTCCGAATGACTCTACACGATGTAGAAGACCTAAAATCTAAGCTTTTAAGGAACATATCTGATTCGAAGACCAACAAACCAAGACCAAAATGAACAGACCAATTTTTCTTTAAATATCGAAGCGGAAAGGGCTGTAGACAAATTGTAGGAATACATCAATTTAGAAAAATGCCCAAAATTGTAGCTATTTATTTGAACTTGACAAATCCGACAGAATATACTGGTCACTGCTTTCGTCGGTCTTCTGCAACGATATTGGTTGACTCTGGTGCCGACATAGCTAGTTTAAAAAGACATGGCGGATTTAAGTCGTCAAACGTTGTTAAAGGGTATATTAAAGATTCTTTTAACAATAAGAGGTGGCAAATAACATTTTCAAAGTACCAAATATTCAACAAAATAACCCTACTACACCGCATTTTGTTCAAAATGTTTCTCATAGTTCTAATAATAATCCTCCAATGTTCAATAATTGTACTAACTGTAAATATAACAAACTAATTCTAAAATGTATTCTGCAATGCATTGAGGTTTTCAAAATATAATCCTTATAAAGAACGTGTTTTTAATCATTTCTGTAGAACACTAACAACTGTAAGAAAATATAATTTCCTTACAGTAAGGAAATATTCAACAGGACTTTTTGGAATATAAAAGTTTACTATAGATTTGGGAAAGTAATTTCACTGCCTTTGATATTAAAAATTTAACTATATTATTAAAATCATTATTTAAACGTTTAATAAATTATCATTACGTGTATTTTGACAGTGCTACCGCGGACAATCATTTTATCTATCAGAGCCTCATTGTTTAAAATGAGACAGTCGAACAAGGGTTTCCATCACTATACTATTCCATTATTTCGGATCCGTGGAATAATCGAATAGTCCTAGACTTAGACAGTCTATTGTTTCCAAAGCCTACCTCACTAATAAATCGAATTGGAATTGGTTCGAAGCCGCCGCCCGGATCTGGCCGTTCAAAGTGCCAATTCGCGCTTTTCAACTGTTTTCCGCTTTATGTGCACGATAACGGTCGCAATTAGTTAGTTGAATGGCTTTCGGGTTTTTTTTTTGTTCTTTGCTATTTTGAGTTATCGATTTATTTATCGTGTAGGTATTATATTGTTTTTTTTTTTGTTCAGAATATCATAATGAATTTTTCAGATAAAATGTATATAGTATTTTTAATACAAATCCTGATGCACGTCAGCAATGAGGTCGGTTATTCATCATAGTACTACCAACTTATTAAAATGTAAGCTAATAATCCGAAAATTTAACGAATATTTACGAGCATTCATTAACGTAGTCATATTACTAAAAAACCGAAAAATGTAATGGTGATTATTTTGATAATTTTAGAAATATTTTAATAAATTAGCTTATACGCGTTCTATTCTTGATAATATCAAATTTATATTAATATTATTACATAATAAGTATTTCAAAAACCATACTTTATATTAAATAATTTTGACATTCTGTACGCCAATGAAACTCGTATTTATATAGACGAAATGTCATTACGGCAGTTGGTATACCTTGTTGCTGTGTTGCCAGTTGCCATAATCTTTTTAAAACAATTCACTTTTTGGATGTTTTTATGTAACTTGCAGTGGTTCACCAGTAGAAGTCGTCAAAGTACAGTTTTTGAAAAAAAAAATGATTACAAAAGTATAACTCATTGGTCATTTAACATAAAACAAATAAAATAAAAGTAAATATTTTTAAATATAATATGTTACACAACATATTCGTGAAACATTTTAGAATCAAAAGCCAATTTAAAAAAAAATGTTATATAAAGGATATAAACATAAAAGACTTCATCATAAAAAACAGAAGCACAGCTTTGTTGAAATAAAATAGAATAACTTCAAAGTGAAGAATGATGTGCATCGAAACATTGGAAGCAACGACCAGGCTTTTCGTTACACATTTCACAGTGCCAGATGGTGTCTTTTCGTGTCTTCGCTATTTTTGAACACATCCGACAAATTTTCCGCTTGAGTTTTCCTTTAGCATTTTTTCAGTTATTTTGCTGAATTTATGCGGCTCTGCTTAGAGTAGCAACGACGGGGGCACGTTTCTGTGGTAATAACTTATCTATTATTGACAAACGATAGTCATATAGAGTCATTTTTGGTTGACCTGAATACTTATTATAAATTTTGTAGGAATTTATAAAAGCAATTGAAAGGTATGAATGGCTAGTTTCAGATACCGACGAAGAGTTTTTCTTTTACAAGGATAAAACGCAAGAAGCTGGTCTTGTCTATCAACTCCAGATATGAACTGGCTATACTTCGCAATAGCTTCGGGTTTTTCAGCAGCGTTTATTTGTAACTGGTACCTTTCTGTCTCCAAACTCTGTGGTTATATACATTATGGGACTTTTACCTTTTTTTTGCCTTTATGTACTCCTTCACGAAAAAGAGACACGCTATCACCTGTCTTCAGTGTTTTTTGAGTTCCTTTGTTGTTATCTAATAGTCGCTTGACCAAGGTAAAGCTGTTATAGCAATTATCCATGTACATTGAGTGGCCATTCTGAAGTTTCTCTTCTAGCAATTGCATAACTACCTTTTCTGCGTGGTACTTCCCCGTTACCTTCTTATCGTGGCCTCCTGCATAAACACGAAATTTAAGTATGAGTCCATCAGCGCAGTATAAATTAAACGGTGCAAAAATTAACAAACAAATTACAAAAATAGGAAACCGCCACGTGCTGTATATTTTCGCATATATGCGGAGTTGGCAGCGAACCTATCTTTATAAAGAACCTAAGTTTAACTCACTTTATAATAAAACTCAGGTAACACCTGCAGTAAAACTTAAATAGCTAACTTTAAGTTGAAATTAAAATAACTAATTTTATACCTAATAATAAATAATAGTTTTTGATAAATATAATGCTGTACTTGTTATACCCAGGCAGCACACATAGGTAGTCCAATGGACGTCCACTTTAGTACATTAAAGGGTCCGAACGTTTATATCCGTATTTGGACATCCAGTGAACGTCTGTTTATGAGCATTAATTTGACAGCTGCATATCGATACTCAGAGGACGTCTGTTTCTGGACTTTATTTAAAGTTTAGTAGTATTTTGTAGTGATGTAAAGTTTCGTTACTTTTGAATACTTGTACCGACTCGTTATATTTAATATCAATACCCGTTACTTTATACTTTCGGTACTTTTAGTCTTTAGTTCAGTACAGTATCTGTACGGAAGTTTCCGTAGATTACGCTAGATATGCTTAAAGGATTTAGTATTTAAAATTTAATGGTAATTGGTGTATTGGTAATAGGTTTTCGGTACTTGGTGTTATTATTAAAAATAAAAATATGTAAGAGAACAGGGATTTTGTTGATAATGAACAAAAATTCTTTATTTTCATATAAAAAAAAAAACAAAAATATAAAATAAAATATAATACCACAAAACAACAAACTAAAATGTAAATTCAAAATATCTTAAACTTAATGCAAATTTTTATAAATCGTTATTACAATGCAAAAATACTTTTTTGCTAATTGAGATAACCAGCGGATCCTTTTTTCTTTCCAGATTCGGTTCTTCTGAAAACATTTTGATCTCAGTAATGGCGACTGCAGTTGGGCTTTCACATGCAAAGAACTTTTTACACATTTATCAAAATCCTGCCAGATCATATCATAATTTTCTGTATTGTCCGATGGGTCTGTAGTATTTTCATTTATTCCAGAAGCGGTTTCATTTTCAGTACCAGTAGGTTGATGTTCAGTTTCTCTTTTTATAAGAACAACTAGTTCATCCTGAATTTTATTTTTCACTCTTTTTAAATTGTCTTCATTGCTGAATGCTTTTGTTTTAAACCTCGGATTCAAGAAAGAGGCTTTGCCCATTATAAGATTATTTTCAGGATTTCCAAATCGGGATATTATAGAGGCAAGCAAAGAATTCATAACAGTTTTTCCTACTTGACTAAGTACTTTACCTTTAGTTCGTTCTAAAGATGACAGTAATCCTTTTATAATTAGTATTACTTTAGAGAGGGTTACTTGTTTCTCTGCGCTCATCTCAACAATAATTGCTTCAAATGGCTTTAAAATTTGGCAAAGTTCTTTTAATATGGTCCATTCTTCTTTTTGCGTTGAAAGATTAATAGGGTTGACCAAAAGACCAACTGTTGCAGCCAAAGGTTCCGATAATGTTACTAGTCTCTCAAACATATAGAATGTAGAGTTCCGCCTTGTAGCTACATCATTAATCAACTTTAAAGGGATTCCTTCAGGTTTCATTTGAACTTAAGTAGCTGTTAATTTAGCTGTTGCGTGCGAACTTCGATGAAAGAATTTTTTTGATTTTTTTGCAAGTCTTCTATGTTTTCAATGCATCCCTAACAATCAAATTAATTGTATGAGCGAAACAGGGAATGTGAGCCCATGGGGTCAGTCGGATCGCTGGCACAATATTTGTTGCGTTGTCTGTACTGATCGCATATATTTTCGAGGCAATATTCCATTCATCAGTAAGTCGTTTTAATCCTCCAGATATATTTTCCGCAGTATGTCGTTCATTATAGTTGAAACACGAAAGCAAACATCCATAAAAATTCTAATCCTTCGTTATGAAATGCGCCGTAACAGCTTTGTAGCCTTCCATGTTCATTGAGGTCCAGCCATCAGTGCTTAACATTATATGCTCAGCAGTTTCAAGGAGTTTTTTCAGTTTTTCACATTTTTCGTCGTATTTTGCAGGAATAAGCGATTTGCTGAAAGTAGGCCTGCTGGGTAATACATATGATGGTTCCAATTCATTCACAAGCTTTTGAAATCCACAGTCTGATATAATTGAAAACGGCTGTAAATCGGTTAAAATTATATTCAATACTAAATCATTGATTTTTTCTGCCGTGGTAATGGAATTGGCTTTAAAATAAATCCTTTTAAAGCTTGACTGTTTTTTTAGTAAGCAGCGATTTTCCTTGTTTTTCTTTTTCGACAAATGGCGTCTGTTCTTCATTGCCTTTTCATGATGTAACTTGCAGTTCCATACCCATAGTCGATGTTGATGGGCCTAAATAAAAAATACAAATTATTACGAACAGTATGTGTTTCATATACAGGGTGTTTCATAATATATGCGCAGGACTTCAGGACATGATAGCTCGTCCAAAATATGAAAAAACGTTTCTATTAACTTACCCTCTAAAATGCACCATTTTCGAGATACAGGGTGTTGAAATTGAAAAAAAATTCTACGCCACTGGAAAAAGTACGGTTTTGAGACGCCCATTTGAACCGCCAATATTTTCTACACAAAAAAGGTACTCTTGGTCATACGCTCTAAAGTCGACCGTTTTCGAGAAAAATCAAATTTTGTTTTATTTCCAAAAATTGACCATGTATTTCAACATTAAAATTTGATTTTTCTCGAAAACGGTCGACTTTAGAGCGTATGACCACGAGTACCTTTTTGTGTAGAAAACATTGGCGGTTTATATGGGCGTCTCAAAACCGTACTTTTTCCGGTGGCGTAGAATTTTTTTTTTTAATTTTAACACCCTGTATCTCGAAAATGGTGCATTTTAGAGGGTAAGTTAATAGAAACGTTTATTCATATTTTTGGATGAGCTATCACGTCCTGAAGTCCTGCGCATATATTATGAAATACCCTGTATATACATTTTCTCGGCTTTTTGGAAACATTTGATTACTATTTAAAGCTAGTACATATAATATTTAATATTTAGATAGGTACTTACCAAATTGTGCTTGATCTGATGGTTCATGTTCAATATTTCTATTTTCCGGTTGCATAGTTCCCCTCCTTGCTCTTGTTTCATCATGGTAGGGTGTTTATTTTTCAGATGATTTCGTAAATTTGTTACACTTCCATTTTTGTAGGAATAAATGTTTTTACAAATATTACACTTTGCTTTTTCATTAGAAATTGTACCAAAATGTAACCAAATGGCACTTCTTTTCTGAACCTTCATCTCCAATCTGGCTAATAAATCGACTCTAGTAATTCAAGATGAATATTTAAATGACTCTCAGATCTCAACTCAGTATACCACACATACACTCAAAGCAAACAACTCTTTCAAACTAAAACTAATAATAATATATTCTTTTTCTAGAGCAAGATTTTCGGCATCTCTTTTGATCCTGAAAAAAAGTCGGCTCAAATATAAAATCGTTTTATGACCCCAACCTGTAACACATCCATTTTTGTTGTGTCAAATTAGTCATAAATTAAAAAACTTCTGGCTCACCAGTAATATAATGGACGTCGGTTTCTCTAATAGTAAAATTGCAAAAATGTAAACACAAAAAAATTGACTCCTGTTGTGGACAAGCGTCTTTGCTTTATGCTTTATGCCGCGCCGCCTCTTTTTCGGTTTATTTTTATCTTGCAAACTGCTGCACCAGCTATTTTGTCTAGTTAACGTTCGTTCCTTACCAAAGTACATATAGGTATAAAAGTAACGATTAACGAGTATTTTGAACAACAAGGAATAGGTACTTTGGGTATCGCGCAAATACCCGATACTTTGTAACGAGTAGTTACTTTTTTACATCACTAGTATTTTGACGTTCAGTGGACATCCATCTTAACTTATTATATATTTAGCCTACCAGATAATATCCATCTGTATACACTTTCTTTTTTTTTTTCTTTAATTTATTATTTCATTAAGAAATTGAATCTATTGCATTTCATTATATCAGTAGAAGTTTGAAATCTTATTCTGTTATAACCATATCTAGTAAAAAGTTTTCAAGTGGCTTCTAGGTCGAGATCGTCTAGTGGTTGAAAGACTAGAACGATAATAAACATGTCGTGAGTTTTCACCTTTGTTTCCACATAGTGTCGAAATTATCCACGTTATTTATAAACACTTTCTTGTTATCTTTAAATATAATTATTCTCCCATTTTAAGTACAGCACGAATTGCCTACGATATAAAGAACTTTTTAATATAACAATAAACAATTTATTTTTAGCATTTCTGTGAACACTATCCCTGAAACTTTTAATTTCTTTTTCGAATAAAATAATTCATCACGTATCCATCAATGACAGAAAACAACAATATGCTGTAAACTTTTTGATACACACTGTATTTGATGCCTTAAAATAACGACCGTGGGTCACCGGGCCCTATATTACAGTTGGAAACCGTAAATGCGGTTTACATTTTACGAATATTGTGCACATTGAATCAATAATCAATATCTTTGATCCATTATTTATACATAAACATTTCCAGCGCTGCTGCTATTTTCCGTTCCATCTATAAACTTACAATTGGCCGTTAATTATGCCCCGACTCTCCTAAATTACATTAATATGCCCTCCGAACTCGTCGCGATCCAATTTACCACACACAGATATTTGTAAACTTTGCTGTTATTCGTGTCAACGAGGGATGCAAATGTAACATGTAACATTGTCATTACAAGCGAAATACAGCGGTAATAAAATGAACTAGTTTACTTTGTAATTATTTTCCAACGAAATGACGCGAATTCTTAATTGTATCCTGTTTGCGAAATGTAGAATTATTTTAAATTATTGGCTAAAACGGTGTAAAACCAGTAAAATTCGTTTTTTTTTTCTAAAGCAGGCAAAAATGGAGACAAATAACTATGCACGGCTCCGAACTAAATTCAAACTTACATATTACTCATATTTGACAAATTACATGTTGATAGACTTTGCAATTGTGAGGACAGGAATTTAGGTCTTCTCCTTCGAGCATATATTACTAGAGCCATCGTCCAAATGCACTTTGTTTTGGTACAGGAGGGAAAACAGTATCCAGCATTCCCATTGGCCTGTTTCGTTTTGCTTGGCATATCAAATCGTTCAAAATTGTCAAAACTGTCATCTGATTTTTGATTTTAATTAATTTCTAGCTTATTTTTGTAGTTTATAAGTGATTTTTTGTATTTTATTACTTTAGTGATACAAATTTTAACAACGGTTAGAGTTTGTTTAAGGTTTAAATAGCAATATGAAAAGGCATCGTCAAGGTCATTTTACAAATAAGAAAACATTAGCGTCTCTACCATTTTTTTAGAAGAAACATAATTACCTACATTTTATGCAAAAGGCCGTTAAATATGAATTTAAAATATATGGTAAATTTAGTAAATTAAATTTAGAAAACTTGTATTATATAATAATATGAGGAATATTGTTTTATATTTTGGACTCTAATGAAAAGTTAAAAAAATTAATCACAATTTTTCAATATTAACAAGCTTTCCGTTTTTAAGTCATTTTATCATGATAATGTTGAAGATGTTAAATCAATAATTTTTGTTTTTTATAGGTTTCCAACTAATCCTGCATTTGGTGGATCATATTGAAACTTACTCCAGAAAACATTTCAAATAGTGATGTTTTATGTTATAATCATTTTTCTGGATGTATGTTTATCAAAGACTGGATAAAGAGGAAGAACTATGTTAATTCTAGATGCATTGCCATCAGTATTTACTAAGTCCTCAGAAGAAGATGAATCTAAAAGGTAAAGAACCCTGCACTTTTCTTGTGGGTTAATCGTTTAAAATTTTTAATTTTTCAGTGATGGTCTGAATACCATGAAGCTTCTGTTGCAAGAAAACATGTAGGTAACTAAGTACATAAATTTTATTTTTAAATACTTACCTATTACTACCTATATTTTTTATAAACCACAAAAATTGATAATTATTTTTTATTAAATATACCTATGTTCTTTAATTAAGTAGACTGCTAGTCGTTAGGAAATGAGGAAAGCCTAATGTGAGTTTTTCAATAAACAAGTCATTTTAAGCTTCTTTTATTTGCACTCCTAGTCATTAAGAAATAATCGAAGCTTGAGACAGATTTCCAATAAAAATTAAGTTTCACTTATTTGTTAATAACTGGCAGTGTAAATGTACCTAAGTACCTAAGTATTGGCTTGATTTCTATTTGTAGTATATCGTTTAGTAATCTATTTAACATTGTTTACAAACAATATTTTTATATTTATTAAATTATTGGAAAAAATCTTGTATTGTAATTCTCGTACACGTGTGTTAATATATATATCATAAATATTTGTATAATATACCTACTATTTATTTATATTTTTGATTTTTAAATATGAGCTTTGTGTATTTTTTCTTGCCTATTATTTTTCCGTTATACACTTTCTGATGTTTAAATTAAAAAATCTGATTTGTCCAACACAAATAATAATAATATTAATAATAATTTACTATTACTAGATACCTACTTATATAATGCAAGTTTATAAAATATGTGCATAAATAAAAGAATTTTAAAGGTATTTATCAAATTTATTATTTATATTAATTGCAAACCACGTAAAAATGATGCGACACTGGTAATAGTGTCTACAAATTTCCCCTCTAACCCAAACAAACTGTTCAATGCGAACTCTATGAAATATATAATGCTCGAAGGTATTTTCTTTTATTTTATACTTATTTAAATATTTGAAAATGTATCCAATAAAATATTACTGTTGTTTTTATACATATTTCTAATAATGCTTAGATACTTTATGTTAATATCTATTTATTACGAAGGTGTAAGATTACGCTGAAAGGTCCATGTTAAAAAAAATAGAACAAGAGCTACACACGTGTATAACGGTAGTTTATAACAAGAAACGATGCTCAAGTATCATTGTTGATCTGGCAAAAGTGTTCCCCTATGGAATAGAGTATAAGGGGCAAACTATACGAGCGCTTTAAAGGTTTTCCATTGGATAGAAAGCAGAGGATAAAAATCAATATGCATCTTAGTAAAGAAACAACTTGTAAGTACGGTGTACCACAGGGCACGGTTCTGGGTCCCGTACTGTTTACAAGATACATCAACGACTTACTTCCAGTTCAAAGTTCTAAAAATATAATTTCATTTGTAGATTATATAATTATATACGTAGAAAAAACCTGGGAAGATATTTACAAAAAGCTGAAAGTGACCTTGTCAATATTCACAAATGGTTTCAATTGGATTATTTAACAATGAATATTCAGAAAACCAAAATATAGGCATTTTCATCACTTTTTTTTTGTGCGCATGCATCAGTATCAGTCATCTTTTTCATACTGTTTTTTGTAAAGAAGCATGTTAAAATGTCAACGTGAAAAAAATTATAATCGATAAATATTAATTTTAAGTGTATTCGTTTAAAAAATGGGATCAAAAAAGTAAAGTAATAAGTTTCTTAATTGAAAAATCAATTTTTGCAATCAATTAATTAGGTTATCTTTACGTCTCATAGGTATTGTTATGAGTATGGAAAAGTTACATACGATATAAATTATTATTTTATAAAAAGACTAGCTTGCAATATCTTAAAACAAAATACATATTAAAACATGTTCAAAATGAGCATTAAGATTTAAAAAATGTGGTCAAAGTGACAAAGGTTTTCGATCGATTGATAGATGATATTACTAAAGATATACTTATATTTGTTCACTACATTTTCATGGAGAAAGTGGTTCAACAGAAGAAATTCCTTGTCGGGTATTACACAATATTTTTTAATATTAAATACTACTTCGGTATACACAGTAACGTCCATGTCACTTCAAGAAACTTTTTAATTGCTCACAACTATGTGCTTCCATAGAGTTATAAAAATGTAACTTACCATCAACGATTTTTTCTAATGATTGATTTATATGTAGAGATAATATTGCTTTTCCAGCCATTGTTGATCAAAACAGTACGAAACTTTTGAATTGGCGCTATTTCGACATGGCGGCTGCGCTTGCGCTCATCACATGATGAAAAGGCT